TCATTTCGACACTCTTTCCTGTACTAATTTGATTTTCCCAAACAAATTAAATGTAAATATAAAATAAAGATTTTAATGTGTAAATATAGTTTTTTCAAACCCCAAGCGTGTGGTTCAGCGGTAGGGGTTGATCCACGCTTAAGCAAGGTCAGGGGTTCGAATCCTGCCTTGTATATGCAGCCGCGTTAAATCTTGGGGCCAGCTATCCCACCCTTTGAGGTGCCTCCAACGTAGCGAGGAGATTAGTCACTGCTGTTGGCGGTGGATACTCCAGGGACGAACAAAAAAAAAAACATAGTTCTTTCAGAAATAATCGTAATTAATAATTGCTGCACGAAGCTTCCTGAAACTGGTTGGTTTGTTTGTTCGTTACATACGAGAGTGATAACTAACAAGTACAAGGTTATTATATTTATCCTTTTTGAGCAGTCTCATAATGTCTTTCCATATCACCATTTTGAGGACCTTCCAATGCAGACAAACACTATCTCATATATAACTTTTGTTTTACGAAATTATCATATAAGAACGTATACCCTAAATTTTATTAGACTAAAATAAAATAAATGTTTTGATAAATTTGCCAAAAAAAATCATTAAAAAATATTTATAAAAAAAAACTTACATGAGTCTGAAGTTATTTTTATATGTTTACATAAATAACACCTCTTCCTTATATACCCAACACAAGATTCATATTGTGAAAACGTGGTTACGACTAGTAAACCATAATGAAAGTTAATGGTTTCAAAGCATGGTAATTCACTAGTGTATTGAGCTGCGAATGAAGATATAACTTTATTTTAAAATTACTTTTTATTGGAGACTAATATAAAAAAAATATTAAAAAATATAATTTTAATTAAATCAAAAATATTTTAAGAGTGATGTTATAAATATGAAAAAAAATATATTTATATTTAAATAAGTATACATAATCTCTCCCTTATATCAGAAGGAAGTATGTATTTTCTATAAATTATACTCCCTCCAAATTGAAATATAAGAGGAAAAAAATTGTGAGTGAATTAAAATACAAACAAATTTTAATTAAATTCACCTTATTTAATATGCTATTATTCTTAAAGCACGCCCTTCATTCAATTGAGATATTATTTTTAATAACTAATTTTTATTTTTTAACATCAAGTTTCAACAAAAAAAAAAGGACATTTTAAGAAAGAAAAATATTTTTCTAATTAAGATTAAAAATTAAATAATGCTAATTAGTGTAAATTGGATTTTTTTTTTCTCCTTATATTTCAGTCCGAGGAAGTGTGAACTAATATTATGAGCATAGACGTGAAGCATATAATTACAAAATATCAAATAGTTATTCTTTGATAAGTATCTTCTGTCTCCTTTTTTTATTTTTTTTTTACGTTTTTACCTTCATACAGATTCTCTTTCTCCCACTATATTACACAATTTTTTCTAACCAATTACTACTAGCACTCATTAACTACATGCAATTTTATTTTTTCTCTAATTTCTTAAAAAATATTTAAAAATATATATATAAACAAATGGAGTACCTCATTAATTCTCCGTAATAATAATAAATTAAGTAGTAAATGTCTTTTATTGTTTGATTTTGTTCCTGTGGCATTGCGAACCATTCAACAGCTCGTGTGCGAATGAAGGGATAATTCTCTGTTATTATTTTTTTTTTTTTTATCACAAATTTTAATTATTAGTTGTTACTTACTCTTATTATTTGTATATATCTAAATGACAAAATAGAATGCAGTAACAGTATAGATTGGGAATAAGAAAGAAAAAGTATTAAATGAAATAAATTAATCCAATATACTATACTTCAATTTGAATAACCCAAATGATTGGAACTATCTATTTCACTCTTTTCCATCATTCCAAAATCATTTAAGCAACCAAATTATATACCATCAAAAAACCTAACGTTAATGCTTCTTCCATGAAGCTTCCTCCGGAGCCGTTGGTTTGTTCTTGACGCTACATATCTGTGCTTCGTAAGTGGGATCCGTTTATTATAAATACTTGTCACCACAATTTTTGTCGTTTAATAATTTAGCCATCTAGAGAAATTTTCATAGATACTATAATTCACAAAATATCTTAAATATGATGATTAAAGACTAATATATATTTACCATTTTTAATTAAACATTATTTTAATATTGACATAAATTGACTAAAGAATATTATTTTATAACGGATTTTACGGCTTCTGGACTAATGAATTTAATTAATGACATTAATTGCTGAAACAATAATGTTGACATATTAATTTTTTTTTTATATCTGTTAGAGATGTCAAATAGTTGGTGTGCCACAACAGTCTATAAACTATACACACGAACACGGTTGTACGTACGAGCCAAAACGACAATATAGCCCCCAAAAAGTTAATAAGGCATTTCAATAAGGATAAAATTTAGGTGAAATTACTTTTGATTGGAGTTTCGTCTTAATACCTTTAAATTGGTGTTGTCGTTTTATATCAACCTTCGTTCGATGAGTGATTATTTTGATTAAAAAATATAACAAAAAAAACTCAATTACTACACTTAATCTTTGTCTTTTCACTAACTATACAATTAAGTAGTAATTAAAAGTCACTATAAAGGAATCTTCTATTGTAGATCATTCTATACACAACAAATGAAGTTTTGTAAAAAAGGAACGAAAGCAACAAGATGGGAACAAGAAATTAAGCACCCTCAAATTCATCTAAGATTTCTTTTATGAAATAAAATACATTATTTAAGGGGTGCCTATATATGGTGGTACTGAAGAATGCACTCCTCAATTTTCACAATTTCCTTTCTCAGCCATACTTGTAGAAACAAAGGGTAAAAAAACCAAGGAACATAGCATTGGTGTTAATATCCTAAATCTCTGGCTTCCTTTCATACATGGCTACAAAAGTGAAACGCAAGACTTGTGCTATTGCTGCAGCAATATGGCTGGTTTTGTGTATCCTTACCATGATCTGCAATGTGAGTTTAGCAGAGAGAGTTTTGAAAGAAAAAGAATTAGGAAATGATGTTAAGAAAGAGAGACAAGGAGTTCTGAAAGCCATTATCAACTTCTTATGGGAGGACGGGAAGTCTTCCTATGAGCCTGTTTGGCCGGTGAGTGTGTCAAACACATTGATACATTATGAACACGTTTGAATGCAAATTTAGAAGAGTTTTTTATAGTTTCTCTATAGCGAAGAGTTACTTATTTTCAGTAAACTAACTCCTAAAAATTCTTCTATGTATCCAAATTAACTCTATTACTTTTGCATCATCTCATTATATATAGATTAGTACTTTTGTTATGTCTTTACTATAATGCTGTCTTTTTACAATCTGAAATGTGCATTGCACTGGTGGTTGAGCAGAACATGAAATTTGGTTGGAGAATTATAGTAGGATCAATCATTGGATTTTTGGGAGCTGCATTGGGAAGCGTTGGAGGGGTTGGTGGTGGAGGAATTTTTGTGCCTATGCTTGCTTTGATCATTGGCTTTGACCCCAAGTCTTCTACGGCCATCTCTAAGTGTTAGTATCTATTCTGTTTATTGTTTATTCTTGCATGCTAAACATAAATAGCTGAATCATAGCCATGCATGCACAACAACTACGTGCATGTTTTTAATTTTTATGCATGTTTGGATAAAAATTTAAAAGAATTTTTGAAATTTTCTTATTGAAAAAAGATCTTTATTTTTGGTAAAAAAAAATAAATCCAAAAACTCTTTTAATTTTGTATCTAAAGAATCTCTTTATCTTTTATTTGTTAGAGTGTTCAAATGAAGACATTTACTTAGCTGGATTGCATGCAGTGTCAATACTTAATAAGTGTTGTGCATTAAATGTAATATTTTATCCTCCCTTGAGCAGAGGATAAAATAACTCTTTAAAACGTGGGCTGCATATATTAATGGCTTGATTTATTGCAACATTCATTTTTTGGATTCTTCGTAATTTATATCATAGCTTTGATTTCAATTTCATAACCTCAGGTATGATTATGGGTGCATCTATATCAACTGTATACTACAATCTGAGGCTTAGACACCCAACACTAGACATGCCACTGATAGATTATGACCTGGCTTTGATTTTCCAGCCTATGCTAATGCTCGGAATAAGCATTGGTGTTATATGTAATGTCATGTTTGCTGATTGGATGGTGACAGTTTTGCTTATCATTCTATTCATAGGTAATAGTTATATCTTTAACATTTGTCTGTTTATTTTAATCTATTTAGTGTTTAAAGCATATAGAATTATTTACCTGAGAATTTGCAATTAAAAGCATATTTAAAAAGTCCTTTGGCAAAAAAATTCTCATTTAAGTAGATTCTTTCATATTTTAAGTATAATATTTACGTTTATACAAGTTTGATAAAAGGGTGAATCTATCTTTTGCACTGCAGTCAATATAATTACATTATTGTATTTGTCAGGGCTTTATTTATTACTGTCTTATCCATAGTGCCTTATTATATAATTTTCTTGGTTGCTAATGCTGGTAGCTACATCATCAAAAGCTACATACAAAGGCATAGACACATGGAGAAAGGAAACAATTGCAAAAAAGGTAAATTCACATATTACTCTTCATGAAATTTTGAAGTTGAGTCTCATAATATAACTTAATGTTACTTGATTTTCAGGAAGCATCCAAACTATTGGAAGCAGAACCGAAACCTGGTGGTAAGCCACTATCAACCTGTTTCTAATATTCAGAAGAATCCTTCAACAATGTATGGAAGATTAATTCAAAAGCTGAAAATAACAAGAAGCATATTAGAAACCCCACAGAAAATATAGTGGAAAGGATTCAAAATTTCAATCTACAAATTTAAGAGGAACATAAAATCTCTTCATTCACTGTTTGGAACAGTATTTATTTAACTTGTAACCCTTTTTTTGCAGATACTTCTGCAGATTACAAATCACTACCAAGTGGTCCAACTGATTCACTATTTGAGGAGGTAATCACAAGGGATTTTCTGTTAAGTTTATCAATAATTTATATACCTATAAATTTTTCACCTGTGCATGCAGACCCCTCTACTAAAGAACGTATATTGGAAAGAATTATCACTCCTCGCGTATGTCTGGGTGGCTTTTTTCATTGTTCAGATTGTTAAGGTAATCAAACTATTACATTCGGTTTGAATTTCTGATCCCTTAGACCTGCTCGGATTAATTTATCCAGAAACATTTCTAAGAGATAATAATGAAAAGAAAATTCAAAATAAGTTTTTTCTTAAGTTATAACTAATTTATACAAAATTTAAAATAAGATTCTAAAAAATTTAATAGGATAAAATTTTTACAAATCAACTTATACAGAAACTAATTTTAGTTTATAGTAGATTTTATTTCATTTTTTTCTTTTTATTTTTCTCTCCTAAAAGTGCTTTTAAATAACTTTACCCAAATATACCCTTAATCACACAAATTCAGCTGATGTGTTTTAAAATTTGGGTTTCATTGTGAAGCATGGAAAAGAAGCTGCCACGAGTCACTACTAGACTCATTATATATAAGAAGCAACTTGTTTGAAAAAAAATTTGTCTTCGAACATGTAATCGATGAAATCACTCCTTCCCATATATTGACATCATTTTAACCTATGATTGAGGAACTTTTTATAATTATAAATCTATCTTTCAAACTGATTCAGCTATTTCGTTGTTTAAACTTGCAAAGTTGTGATTAGTGAATGCATTTCTATGCAGGAATACAGCAAACCCTGCTCCACCCAGTTCTGGCTTCTTAATCTTTTGCAGGTAAGGTTACTTCCAATACATATTTGGATACTACAAATCAGATGAATTTCAGCAATGAATTATAGTTGTGTGACTTCCGACACCATTTTGCCAAATCAATAAACCAAAGAACGTGAAAAAAAAAATGGCATTAGAGTTATGGTTGTAACTTGTAAGAATTCATGGCCGAAAGAGTTTGGCTGAACAAAGTATAAGACAAATGAACTCACATATTAGCAAAATGTATCAATTCCAACAAATTGGACAGAAAAAAAATGTCACCTGAAACAAGACAAAATAGGCACTTTCGGGCTTAATATTAATGGAAACAAAAAAATAAAATGCAATGATATCAAGTTAGCTTTGATATGTGTAACATTATGCAATTAACTTAATACCATGTCATGCCAAGGTCTAACATGATATTTGATTTGCCAACTCAAGGTTCCTATTGCGATCTCCGTTACACTCTTTGAAGCCATAGGGTTGTACAAAGGAACTAGGACGATTGCATCAAAGGGAAAGGAAATCACTAATTGGAAGATTCATCAAATTTGTCTCTACTGTTCAACTGGAATAGTAGCTGGTATGGTTGGTGGATTGCTTGGTCTAGGAGGTGGTTTTATTTTGGGGCCACTTTTTCTAGAATTGGGAATTCCTCCTCAGGTACCCTCTTCACCATTCTTGTGTTAAAAGACTTCCCAACAACAATGTCACGAGAAAAATATAACTTCAACAAATGTGTTCATTGTTACAGGTAGCAAGTGCTACATCAACTTTTGCCATGGTTTTCTCATCCTCCATGTCAGTGGTTCAATACTACTTATTGGATCGTTTCCCAGTACCGTATGGTAAGTAGAAGAAAAAAATAATCTAGAACAATCCATAATACCTTGGATTTTAGGTTTGGCTGAATAAATTTCCCAATAAGTATCTAAAAAAAAAAAAAAAATTAAAAAAAACCAAAATTCCCTGGATTTTAGGTTTGGCTTAAAAAATTTCCCAAAAAATAACCAAAAAAAAAAAAAAGATTGAAAAAAACTTTTTCATAAAAGCTAATAAGATAAAGTTTTTACATATTAGTATTAACTTATAGAGATACTAATTTTATTTTTTTCTCTTAGAAGTGTTTTTAGTGAAGTTTATTTGCTAGTTATTGTTTTTATTTATTTTTCTTACCTCTTTGTTGCAGCTTCCTACTTTGCTTTGGTTGCAACCATAGCTGCTTTCACTGGGCAGCATGTGGTGAGAAAGATAATTGTTGTCCTTGGGCGAGCATCCATTATCATCTTCATACTAGCACTGACCATTTTCATCAGCGCAATCAGTTTAGGTACTTAATTTCTGTGACATAGATTTTTGCTTCATAATTTGGTTTCATTCAGATATGCTTAATTATTTCGTGTGTTATGCATCACAGGTGGAGTGGGAATAGAGAACATAATTGAGAAGATAGAAAATCATGAGTACATGGGCTTTGAAGATCTCTGCGCCCTGTCTTAGATGTGTCTATCGGTATAAGTACATAGAATAACGTTATTAAAATTGGTAATATGGTCACCTATTTGTCCATTTTAATTCAAGTTGTATTTTTGTCATCTCAACATTGATGTTAAAATATTTCACTTTGGTTTCTGAAGAATCATGTGCCACCAAAATGAGGTACTAGGGTATAAATAATTTAAAAGCGCATCTGACAGATTATGGGGCTATGAATGATGAAAATAAATTTTTGATATGGCTAATTTGAGTTTATACCTTGATCAAAGTGAACACATGTGATCCACCCAAGTTCGTCTATGCAGTGATGACTCCCTTTTCTATGTCATACAAATATAATTAAATGTGCAGGGATCTAAACCATGATAATGAATGAAATGAGCAAGACCCGAAAAAGTTAAATAATGTTGTTAAATGGTTTTGCATATCACAAATTCGGAAGAAAAAGGAAACTTTGAGTTAATTTATAAATAGTTTTATTCCCCTCCAATTGGTAAAAACATAATTACATTCTTTATATAATACTGCCTTTTTTATTTATTTTTTCTTCAATGCATCAATCCTTATAAGAAATCCCAAGCGTGTGGTTCAGCGGTAGGGGTTGATCCACGCTTAAGCAAGGTTAGGGGTTCGAATCCTGCCTTGTGTATGCAGCCGCGTTAAATCTTGGGGCCAGCTATCCCATCCTTTGAGGTGCCTCCAACGTAGCGAAGAGATTAGTCATTGCTGTCGGCGATGGATACTCCAGGGACGAACCAAAAAAATCAATCCTTATAAGAAAAAAAAAAAACAAAACAAAACACAAGTGCAAACAAATTGTTAAAAAAAATAAACTATTCAATAAAAGTTATCATTTTATTAATGGAGTCCTTCCCTCGTTATAAAATCTTGTTATGTTTATATGTGCAAACAAAACACGCATACGTTATTAATATTGATTTATATAAATGGTGGCAACTTATATGATTTTATTAAATTATTTAAAATTTGAATTTTAATCTTAAATATGAGATAAACTATCTTTAAAAAAAATCATCTTATATACACTCGCATATTAAAAAAACATGAGTTACATACTCTGTCTCTAACAATTATTAGTCACTCTACATACTCTTTGTCCCAATCTGTCTCCAGTTTTTTTCTCTTAAAAATATTTATTCCAATGTTTAGCACTATTAAAAAAACATGAGTTACACAATCTTCAAATTGTAAGATTTGTCAACATATTCTAATTTGACAAACTTTTAAAATAATGACAAGATGTTTGAGTAGGAATGAGTTTGTTCAAAAACCAAGTTTGATAGAACTTTAAATGAATCCTCCTTATGTACTCTGGTTTCTGAATTATGATATTTAACATGTCTCTAATAGTTAGTTAAATATTTTTTTTCATCAAACTTTTTAGACCACATCAATCTTTAGCCCCTCTTGATTTTTTTAATATACGTGTCATGGTCACAACCATAAACAATCTTTATGAGTTATTGTTCTAAATAGTTTGTCGAACCTTTATTGAACTTATTAGTGGCAGGGACGTCATTGGTAGACTTGTTTGTGTGACTTTTATTTAACTTATGCTTGAACCTTGATAGCCTCTTGACCTATAATATATTAGGACAAATGGTCATATTATAATCACTTTTTATTCATTTGGAATGAATTTTTGAAATTTTGTGAGAGAAATTTCTCTCTATATTCTTAAGAATTACGGTTAATTTTTATTCTTTAAAATTTTAACAAATGATAAATTTTTTTCAACTTATCAATTCTCATCTCAGAGATTATGATGTTAATTTATATTTTTTCACCTCTATCCATTTTTTTATTTGATTTATTTATTTTCTTAAAAAGATTGTCCTAAAAATCAAGTGAGATGTTGAATTCTTAATCCTTATAAGAGTCTTTATCATCAAGTTTAACTTACTTCAAAATTATTAGAATTTAGTCTAACTTATATCAAAATTATTAAGCCTATGTGTGATCCATTTACTTATCACATGCTTTTTTTGACCTAACCTAACATGTTTAAAAGCCATCTTCGACAGCAACTAATATGTGTGAATCCCTTTACTTATCAATGTATATATTTTTTCATAATAAAAATTACGATGGACGTGATAATATCCACCATCGTAACCTCCAGCACGATAAGCTTAAAGTTACTATACAATGTGATAAAAAAACACACGTCGATAATAATGTCAGCACCATCCATGCATGCCATAGTACTAGGGATGTCAACGGGCGGGACAGGTACGGGTTTCATGAAATCCGTCCCCGTTCTTGCGAGTCAAATCCATCTTCGTCCTCATATCCGTACTTCTTGGATATGTGATTTTCATCTTCATCCCCATTCCTGTCGGGTATCGTGTATATCTGTACCTGTGCGGGTATACTCGATACCTGTCAAAAAATTTATTTTTTATTTTTTATTTTTAAATATAATATTTTTAAATTATTTTTTATTTATTATAATTATAATTAGGTTATTTCTCTGTCTCATATTATAATAAATAATCACATAAAAAAAATATTAAAATTCTTTAATATAATTAAATTAAAAGTGGGTATTAAATTAAAAATAGGAACGGAGACGGATACGGGTACAGGGCATGTAAGTTCATACCCATACCCGTATCCGTACTGGATTTAATATATCGGATTTTACCCGTACCCGGTTAAACCGGATATTTTTCGTCAAAGTCGGAACGAGTTCGGGTATTACCTGCGGGTACATGTATCCCTACATAACACTTTTATTATCAGCCGCTAGCAAATAAAAAGAAATTTCTCCAAGTCAGCACTAAAAAAGAGAAAATAATAATTATTTTTTGAACAATTACTATTTATCAACCATTTCATATTAAAATCAACAAAAATAAAAGTTACATAAAAGTTACTGCAGATAATGAGCACCTCTTAAGACCATTCTGCATCAGCGAGTTTCGATCTGCCCTCTTTTCAATGCATGCAGACAAAGCGCCAGGACCTGATGGGCTCAACCCAGGTTTTTATAAGCATTTCTGGGAACTGTTGGGGCCAGAAATTTACCATGCCGGGAAACAATGGTTGGAACAAGGCTTCTTCCCAGAACCTTTAAATCAAACCAACATTGTCCTCATACCAAAAACTAAAGCACCATCATCTATGAAGGACCTGCGCCCCATATCACTTTGCAACGTCATTTACAAGATAGTCTCAAAAGTTCTTGCAAATCGACTCAAAGATGTGCTACACCAATGCATCTCCCCAACCCAATCTGCATTTGTTGAAGGACGCTCCATCCTTGACAACGTAATGGTAGCATCCGAGATAATCCACTATATGAAGTGCAAACATCAAGGCCAAACAGGTACGGTTGCTCTAAAGATTGACATCAGTAAAGCCTTTGACAGAGTCAGTTGGTCCTACATACATGCTCTACTCTTGAAACTGGGATTTCACGCCCAATGGGCTCTTTGGATGCGTATGTGTTATGCCTCCCCCACGTTCCATGTCATGGTTAATGGTGAAGGAGTTGGACCTATCTCACCGGAGCGAGGACTACGCCAAGGTGACCCCCTCTCACCCTATCTTTATATTTTATGTGCTGAAGGACTCTCTTCCTTATTACGAACAGCAGAAGCTAGAGGGGATCTCCATGGGGCTAAAATCTGTCGAGGCGCACCGCAAGTCTCACATTTGCTGTTCGCGGATGACTGTTTCCTTTTCTGCAAAGCCACTGAACGCGAGTGCACCACTCTTCGCACCATTCTTCAACAATACGAGAGTGCATCCGGACAAGCCATCAACTTGCAAAAATCAGAGATTTACTACAGCAAAAATACCACTACACGAACGCGCACGTCCATCAACGCTATTCTGGGGGTTCACGAATGCATTGGCACTGGAAAATACTTAGGACTCCCATCCATGGTGGGCAGAAACAAAAAGGCAGTGTTCTCCTACGTCAAAGATCGCATATGGAAGAAGATCAACCACTGGACAGGCAAACATCTCTCCAAGGCTGGCCGCGAGACCCTTATCAAGGCAGTGGCACAAGCAATCCCCAGCTATTGTATGAGTACCTTCCTCTTACCAACCAGCCTCGAGGATGAAATTCAAAGAATGCTGAACTCCTTCTGGTGGGGCTCTAACCACCATACAGGGCGAGGAATCAAATGGTTAAGCTGGGATAAACTCACTATGCGGAAAGAGTATGGCGGTATGGGTTTCCGTCACCTCCATGGTTTTAACTTGGCTATGCTTGGGAAGCAAGGGTGGAATCTACAGTCCAACCCAGATGCTCTATTTACACGGATCTTCAAAGCTAGATACTTCCCTCAAGGGGACTTCTTGGGTGCCCGCCTGGGCCACAACCCAAGTTTTATTTGGAGAAGCATCCACGCTTCACAGGTTCTAGTCAGGCAAGGTGCCAGGTGGTGTATAGGGAACGGATCTTCTATTAACATTTGGAAGGATCCATGGCTCCGCAACTCACATAGCTCGTATGTTACCTCAACAGCCCCTCAAGGATACGAATCCCTCACTGTCCACGACCTCATTGACCGCACTCTTCACAAGTGGGATTCACATCGAGTTCAAACTCTCTTCAATCATCAAGATGCTCAATCCATCCTATCTATACCACTGTTGAACCCCTCACGCCCAGATTCTTTAACTTGGAGGCTCACCACCAATGGCTCCTACTCGGTACGCACAGCATATCACCATCTCATGGAACATGTCATCTCCAACAATACATTGAGAGTGCAGGGTGACTGGATGAAACTTTGGAGCTTGAAGATCCCTCACTCAACACAGATTTTCCTCTGGCGACTATTGAGAGGTTGCATTCCCACGCGCCTGAACCTACAACAGAAAGGCGTCCCATGCACGTCTTCTTGCCCCCATTGTTCTGCAAACCAAGAGAACGAATGGCACCTCTTCTATAGCTGCCCAGCCGCCTTATCCATATGGATAGACTCAGGATGTTGGCCGCGGATCGCCCATATAGTAGAGCAAGGCATCAGCTTCATCGACACCACGTGGAAACTGCTGGGTCACTTAACAGGTTCTGATTTAACATCGTTCACCCTCATGCTTTGGTGTATCTGGCGGCGGAGAAATGACAAAGTATGGAAGGAGGGTGCCCCTCCCCCAAAAACCTCAATCCAGCTAACGGAACAACATTTCCATGCATGGCGATCTGCACACAGGAACTTGGCGCAAACTGCCTCCCCCGTAGTGAACCACAGATGGACCAAACCTCCAGC